CTGCCTACACTTGGAAGATGAAAAAACCTCAGGGGAGCAGATTTTGCCTTATGCCTTAAGAGTGAGATCTGAGCTCTGTCAGAGCACAGCAAGAACTTCCTACAGTAAGAGCTACATAGCACTGACACTTCAAACACTGAATAACAGCCTTCAAACATGAGCTGAAACATCCCTTATTTAATCTATTAAACTGGGAAAAAGGGAGGGAAGCCTTCTCTACAAGCTTCAATACTCTAATCATGTTCAGCATCAAATCACTACATTATGTCTTAAAGTTATCTGGAAGGTAGGTCTCTTTAAGCAGAATCAATGCAAAAAGTTCTTACCTGACTCTTATCACTGAACAGAGCTAGCTGGATTTAAAGAAATATGATTCATAAATGTTTTTGCACACTTAGCCCTTGATTTCAGCTCGCTACTATTTCTAGGTCTCAATAAACAAGAGCCTTCTCAAACCCAACAGAAATTCAAAGCCCTTTGCAGCCTACTCCTCCCCTACCATCTCCACATCAGTAGCTGTATCTTACTACCACCCAGCCCAAGGTACTAGTTTTATTTTCCACTTAGATTTTCAAGTAAGCACCTTCTATGATTTCTGTTGCTGCTAGGAAAAAAAGACAACAAAAGACATCCCTTATATGACTCCTTGAAGCACAGTCTTGCCTGATGTTTACAAAATATGTCAACAGCTAACCTCTTTGTGTGCCGAGATCACTGCTTCAGGATGAGGTACTTTGCCTCCCTGTTTTTCTGGGCTCCTCAATATGCTATTAACATCAGTTTACTCCCATCTTAGCATCGGATTGTAAACTTCTTTCAATTGCAAGCTCCTTCTTACAAGTTTGTGCAATGCCTAGTAGAGTAGGTCTTGGCCTATTACTGTCAAGAGCAGTGTCACTAATTGAAATTCTAGGGTTTTCACAGGCTTTGCTACAAATTAATATTTAACAAAAAAAAAAATCATACAGATAATTCAGTGTTCGCAACAGAAAAACTATGCTTTGGAAAAGGAGCAAACACACCATGCCAGCCTTATCCTGAAGGGCAGACTTTCAGATTACATAGAATAGCATAACATTGGTGTCAGTAGAATTATGATGATTGATACCAAAGACTCATCTGTCAGTCTTTGAGTAAAGCTTACAGATGCATAAGTCTTTTTTATAAGGATTTATTGAGCTCAATATGTTGTTAATAATTTTCAAAGGACTTCCATTTCACAGCTTTTAAACCAGCAAGACCTTGGTAATCCCATGAGGGAAATAAAATGTTGTCATATGACTTAGACACCCTGTGCAATTTTTCAAAATGAAGCATTCCTAAACAACCTCACAAGTCAAAGTTTTTATCCCAACTAATCCATGAGGAAATGCACATGCCAAATCTGTTCTGGACCAAATCAAGCAGCACTCACATGAGTCTACCACCCACATCCCGCTTAGTCAAATCTTCTAAGCTTTTTCAGTTGAAAATAATGTATAGCCAAATAGAGAAAACACAGCCTAGCAAAACAAAAAAACAACACAAAAGAACAGTTGTGAGTCCAGGTATCAACAGGGAGAACTATAACTACCTCTGACAGTCCCACAGAGAAAGAAGGGTTCCAAACCACATCTACAGAAAGGCCAGAAATCTTCCACCTTTTCTATGTCCTTTACTGCTTCTAGGAATCTATCAACATCCCTAACGATTCAATGAACAACTTCTCATTGCAAAACACCGGACAGAACCATCCCAAGATCAGGAAAGGTAAGAAATACACCTGCCAGCCAGAGCACAGAGAATTTTGCCTTCTCAAAGAGCCTTTAAGTAAATGGGAATACCATATAAAAAATTGAGGTTAAAAAAAAACAAACAAAACAACAAAACAAGACAAACAAAAAAAAAAGCAAACAAGCAAAAAAAAAAAAAAGAAACAAACCACTACACATTTTCTTCAGATTATTTTTTGAGAAGTTCCAAGGAAACCATGGAGTAATCAAAGCACAGAAATATCTACCCCAGAAGAGACACCGGGAACCCAGCATGGATTTGCGGTCCATCATGTTTAATGTTGTTGAGTGATCCAAACCAATTAGTATTGATTTTGCTATATATTTGTCCCTTGCCAAGATGTAATCACTTATTAATAATACCAGAACTGCTATTCTAAGAAGAATTTTGCCTCCAAAGTGTATTTATTGAATTTTTTTATTTTTCATATTTGTCTCTTTTTTAACATGCGAATTTCAGAGTCAAAGTTCTGAGAGCACGTGTACTAAAACTTGCTTAGTAGGTTCTGCAGCAAGGAATTATATCCATACCTACCTAATCAGATAATCTGTTTCTCTACCTTTTCCCATCGCAGCTTCATTAGCCAATGTGTTAAGATAACTTCTGACAAATAAGTAATGGCTAATTTTTACAGAGTGGTCTGCATACCACATCACACTATTTCTACCAATATTCATTTTTTGACCTCTCAGGTGCATACTATTTTTCCAGCACCCTTCCTCATGCAACACTATTAAAAAAAAAAAAAAAGTAATTTATTAAGAAAAATGCAATTATTGCAGAGAACTTGCAAGGTCTTCTAACAGAAAGGCAAAATGCAAAGCTTGTGCATTGAAATCAGCTGTCAGCTCAGCATTTAGTGAAAATGTTAGGGGACAGAGCCAAGGATGAATTTGAAAGCATAATCTCATATATATCATGATGAATCATACCTTGAAATTTCTTACCTTAACTAGCCTGGAAGGGTGAGTTGTAAGATGTCTCTCCCATTTTGGCAAGTAACTACATCGCATGTGGCAGATATATGTGCTGAAAGAGTTGAAATTTACTAGCAGACTTTAAAGATGTTATGAATATATATTAATTGGCAAAGATACAGTAGCATCATTGGTAAATTTATATTTATAAAAATAGGGATAGAGACATAATGCATTAGGAAGCCATGTAGGCATAGGCAAGAACAAGATAAAAGCTCTACTGGTGATCAGGATTTCTGGTTTAAGTACAGAACAATATTTTTTGCTTCTTAAAAGGTCCAGAGTGAAATCCTAAAGATACTTTTTTAGCTATAAATGTCAGTAATGCTAGGATAACACTGTAAAAATACTAGGATCCAGCATCATCATAAAGCATAAAACTTACCTGCAAGCTCCAAATGGTGTCAAAGCATATATATATATATATATATATATATATATATATATATATATGAATGGACCACTTTAGATTTTAATAAAATATATCCCCTAAAATTAACATTGCGAGAGAGAGGTAATTGTTCCATGTCCCATACCCCTTGCCTCTGCGTTATACCTAGTATTCATAAAAGGTTAGCAAACAAAAAAACTTTTTCCAAAAACGCCTTGATGACAAGCCTTATGACAAATGTTACATTTCAGATGCACAGTGTCCTGGGTTCAGCAGTAGCAGTCATGTTTCTCCTTCTTGGTAGCTGGTGCAGTGCAGTGTTTTGACTTTTGGCCTAGGAACAGAGCTGATAACAATGATGTTTTGGTTTGGCCAAGGACTTTGTGAGCCTCATGCTCTGCCAGGGAGGAGGGGAAGCCAGGAGGAAGCAGAGACAGGACACCTGACCCAAACTGACCAAAGAGGTATTCCATACCACAGCACGTCATGCCCAGGATGTAACTGGGAGTTAGCCGGAAGGGCTGGGAGACTGCAGGGTTGGAGGAGGTATCGGTCGGAGCTTGGTCGGGCTTGGGGGGCGAGTTATCGGTTGGCTGGTGGTGAGATGTTGTATTCTCTTCCCTTGTTATTTCCTTTATCATTATTATCATTGGTGGTAGCAGTAGTGATTTGTGTTATACCTTAGTTACTAAACTGTTCTTATCTCAACCCGTGGGAGTTGCATTCTTTTTGATTCTCCTTTCCGTCCCTCCAGGAGCAGGGGGAGGGAAAGAAGTGGGGGCGGTGAGTGAACGAGTTACCTGACTGTGTTTAAACCACGACACACAGGCACAATGCTATTGAGGAAGAAGTTAGTATGAAAGATAAGCACTGCAAAGATTCTCTACATATCTTAAATGCTGAGTAGATTAAGCTAAAAGGTAGATCAGAAGAAAAAGAAAATAGAGGGCAGATGAGGGTTAGAAGTTTTTGGAAATTATTTGTCCTCTCACCTGTGTTTAGCAGCAGAGAGAACTTCACCTGCGGTGTAAAGGGGAAGGGACACAGAGAAACCCTAGCTGAGGTGCTGCTCTGAAAAAGGGCTCTGGGACAGAAATGTTTCTTCAGCTTCCACAAAGAAATCCTGTGAGACAGACAGAACAATCTGTAGCTGTGAAGCATATTTGAAGTTCACATTTATTTATTTTTTCATATTTCTGTACTTCAACTTTGTTGCCAGTAAATAATTAAGAACTTAGCCCTTTGCTTCACTGATTTTTCTCTGAAAGCATGTCTAGTGCTCAAAGTGACACTGATCATTTTAAAAAAAGAAAGAAAAGGGATGTCTTTATTCTGTGAAACTAACACACCTAAGCAAAGCAGTCTTCCAGATAACTAGGAGCCAAGACAACTTTGGGACTTCCAGGAGTTGGTCTGTTTCCAACAACCTTCCCTTGTCAGCTGATATTGTGAAACAGCAGGATGGAAGGAATGATCTCCCTGGGTTTCTTACCCTGACTCCCTCCTTGCAAGGAAGTGGTAAAAAGACAAGGCATGCTTTCAAGAAATTGAGTATCATTGATGAGTGTTATAAGTATCTCCTGATATTTCTGTGAGTGAGAGGCATGCTGTCCTTATCATATCTTAGTCCATATGTTGCCTTCTCAAATCTCTTTAACTTCGTGTCAACAAGCTCATTAACAATTTGGTGCCAAGCCTAAGTAATTTCAGTGATGAAATTACATTCTTTAGATAATGAAATAGCCAGCAAGCAATTGCTCTGTGCATGTCAGGTTAGTGCTGCCAGATGCTCCTATCTCTCAGTCTCCTTTGCTTTGGATAGACCTGCAAGAGTCTGTACCCCACCTCTGCTTTCTTATCCCTTTACAAGGAGCTGAACAACACCATAGGATCGGTTGGCTCCAGACCTGCAGCTATCTGCAGCACCAGTAAATCAGTATGTTTTGTTCTCCACAGCAGTTTAGGAGAATTCCGTGAAGAGGCAGTACCTGTAATAAATAATTTATTTATGAGATACTGAGATAGAAAGCCTTAAAGACTATTCAGCAGAAAAAAGCCAACCACATGGACAGGTGCATTAAAGGCAGTAAGAATTCACCCTGTTAAACACTGAGCATCTACAACTCACCCCCTTGTCTACAAGCTTAGGACAACCAACAGTTTGCACAATCATGTTCTTAATGACTTGGTTGCTCCTGTTGGGTGGGGAAATTGAGCTCCTAGGCACAGCAGAAGTTGGTTGCACAAGGCCAAATATTGACTTACGTGGGAAAATAAAGTTTCTTTCAGTTTGGTTTGGCATGCATATAGGAGCTCTGAGACCTTCAACTCTTACGGACTTCAGCATTATGTACCTACTGCAAAGTGCAATTCTGCAACCATCATTTTTCTTTTCCCAAAATACACACCAAGTTGCAGGTACAGATAGAATAAAGGGGGAAAAAAGGTCTTACTATAATTTAGAAACTGAACACCTCAAACAATCCTCCCTGTGGGGAGAGAGGATAAGACCAAGAACAAGTGTTAGTTCAGTGTTAGTAAACAGAGTACATTCAACATACTTCTAGAAAACACTCTGCTATTACATCCTGACACCAGGAAATAGGGCTGGGTAGGGTAGGGTAGGGTACAATTTACAATAGGATACGATAATATAGGAAAATTTCCTGCTGAGAAAGCAGATAATTATCTCTTCTTCCAAAGTTTTAGATTATTAACATTATCTGAAACTTGGGAAAGTCTATTAGAAAGCCCATTCAAGTTCAAAAAAAAAATAGGATGAGTAATTTGTCTCAACCACACATATCTGAAAGATCTTTCAGTTCACAGATAAATCTAAGGTCATGTTCACGTAAGAATATTAATTACACAGCACATCAAACATTATAAAACTATCATCAAAATAGTGAGGGTCTTAGTTTAATATTAAGGGTTAAATTTACAGTTTTCACAACTGAAAGATAACTATGAGGTTTAAATAAGAATACCAATATAATATTAAGAGTTCCTAATTAGAGAGAGCTATTTTTAAAAAACTGATTAACAATTAAATGAACTGTTAAATTAACTAATAAAATTACAAAACTTAGCATAACTTTGGGATTTCTGTTTTCAATGCTTTTTTCCATGGCTAAACCAATTCTTTCTACTTTGCCTCATCCGTCTGGGCCACTGCTGGGAAATGTCATTAATGTTTCAGACCCCACTGAGTTGCAATAGTGCTGCTTGCTGAATGAGGATAATTGAAACAGGGACAGGTATTTCTAAAAGTGTTTTCAGAATTCCTTAGAGACACATGTACAAATCTGGTAAATATTATTCAGCTTCATACAGAAACTGCTGCAGTATGAGGGAAGATACTGGCACTGCTGCTGCTTTTGTTTCTGGAGCATGATGCAATACTTTGTTCTCTTCTGTACCAGGTTTCCAGGGCTTAGTCAAAGGCCAAAGCTTATCTGGTTTTCACCCTGAAAGACACTCAACCACCTGGAGAAGGAAAGCAATTTATGTAAAAGAATCACAGAGTTATAGAATGGTTTGGGTTGGAAGGGACTTTAAAGATCATCTCATTCTGCCCCACCACCACCACAGTCAGGGACACCTTTCACTTCACCAGGCTGCTCAAAGCCCCACCCAACCTGGCCTTGAACGCTGCCAGAAATAGGAAACAGGTTGCTAGAAACACTTCTAAAAATAAGAAATAGCCACAGCTTTTCTGGGCAGCCTGTTCCAGTGCCTCCCCACCCTCGCTGTAAAGACCCTCTTCTTAATAGCTAATCTAAATCTAATCTTTTTCAGTTTAAAGCCATTTCACCTTCTCCTGTCACTACAAGCCCACGTAAAAAGTCTCTCTCCAGCTTTCCTGCACACCCACTTTAGGCCCTGGAAGACTGCTATAAGTTCTCCTTGGAGCCTTCTCTTCTCCAGACTGAAGAAGCCCAACTCCCTCAGCCTGTCTTCTTAGGAGAGGTGCTCCAGCCCTCTGATCATCTTCGTGGGCTTCCTGTGGTCCAAATATATGATTTATTCATAGAATCATAGAATCATTGAATCATTAGGGTTTGAAAGGACCTTAAGATCATCTAGTTCCAATCCCCCTGCCGTGGGCAGGGACATCTTACGCAAAATCATATCACCCAAGGCTTTGTCCAACCTGGCCTTGAACACTGCCAGGGATGGAGCATTCACAACCTCCCTGGGCAACCTATTCCAGTGCCTCACCACCCTAACAGGAAAGAATTTCCTTCTTATATACAACCTAAACTTCCCATGTTCAAGTTTGAACACATTACCCCTTGTCCTGTCGCTACAGTCCCTAATGAAGAGTCCCTCCCCAGCATCCTTATAGGCCCCCTTCAGATACTGGAAGGCTGCTATGAGGTCTCCACGCAGCCCTCTCTTCTCCAGGCTGAACAGCTCCAACTTTCTCAGCCTGTCTTCATACGGGAGGTGCTCCAGTCCCCTAATCGTCCTCGTGGCCCTTCTCTGGACTTGTTCCAACAGTTCCATGTCCTTTTTATGTTGAGGACACCAGAACTGCACACAATACTCCAAGTGAGGTCTCACAAGAGCAGAGTAGAGGAGCAGGATCACCTCCTTCGACCGGCTGGTCATGCTCCTTTTGATGCAGCCCAGGACACGGTTGGCTTTCTGGGCTGCGAGCGCACACTGAAGCCGGCCCATGTTCATTTTCTCATCAACCAACACCCCCAAGTCCTTCTCGGCAGGGCTGCTCTGAATCTCTTCTCTGCCCAACCTGTAGCTGTGCCTGGTAGTGCTCCCACCCAGGTGTAGGACCTTGCACTTGGCATGGTTAAACATCATGAGGCTGGCATCAGCCCACCTCACAAGCGTGTCAAGGTCCCTCTGGATGGCATTCCTTCCCTCCAGGGTATCAACCAAACCACACAGCTTGGTGTCATAGGCAAACTTGCTGAGGGCGCACTCAATCCCACTGTCCATGTCAGTGACAAAGATGTTGAACAAGACCGGTCCCAACACCGATCCCTGAGGGACACCACTCGTTACTGGTCTCCAGCTGGACATTGAGCCATTGACCACAACTCTTTGCATGCGGCCATCCAGCCAGTTATTTATCCACCAAGTGGTCCACCCATCAAATTGATGTCTCTCCAATTTAGAGACAAGAATGTCGTGTGGGACAGTGTCGAACGCTTTACACAAGTCTAGGTAGATGACATCAACTGCTCTACCCCTGTCTGTCAGTTCTGTTTTTTACTTGCTATGTACTTGTAGAATCCCTTCCTGTTATCTTTAATATCTCTAGCTAAATTTAATTCTAACTGGGCCTTAGCTTTCCTAACCTGATCCCTAGCTTCCTGGACAACATCCCTGTACTCTTCCCAGGCCGCCTGTCCTTGCTTCCACTTATTATAAGCCTCTTTTTTCAATTGAATTTTCCTCAGGAGCTCCTTATCCATCCAAGGAGGTCTCCTGGCCCTCCTGCTGCACTTCCTTCTAGTTGGGACGCAACACTCCTGAGCTTGCAGCAGGTGATCCTTGAATATCAACCAACAGTCTTGGGCCCCTCTGCCCTCTAGGGCTGCATCCCATGGAACCTTACTAAGCAGGTTCCTGAAGAGGCCAAAGTCTGCTCTTTTGAAGTCCAGCGCAGTGAGCTTGCTGCACGCTCTTCTCACTGTCCTGAGGATCTCAAATTCGAGCATCTCATGATCGCTGTAACCAAGGCTGCCCTGGAGCGTCACATTTCCAACCAGCCCTTCCCTGTTGGTGAGCACGAGGTCAAGCATGGCACCTCTCCTTGTCGGCTCCTCTATTACTTGCAGAAGGAAGTTGTCTTCCACACAACCGAGGAACCTCCTGGATTGCTTGTGCCGGGCCGTACCGTCCTTCCAACAGATGTCAGGGTGGTTGAAGTCACCCATGAGAACAAGGTCCTGTGAGCATGAGGCTTTTCCTATCTGTCTGTAGAGTGCTTCATCTGCAGGTTCTCCTTGATCAGGCGGTCTGTAACAGATCCCCACAGTAATGTCTCCCGTAGCTGTTCTCCCTTTAACCCTGACCCACAAACTCTCTGTGGACTGCTCACCTGTGCCCAGACAGAGTTCCATGCTCTCCAGCCTATCCCTAACATAAAGGGCAACTCCCCCTCCCCGCTTGCCAGGCCTGTCTTTTCTAAAGAGCCTGTAACCTTCCATTCCAACACTCCAGTCATAGGAGCCATCCCACCATGTTTCTGTGATGCCTATTATATCATACCCCTGTAGATGTGCACACACCTCTAATTCCTCTTGTTTGTTCCCCATGCTACGGGTGTTTGTATAGAGGCATCTGAGCCGAGCTCCAACTGAAGCCGGCTCATTGGCTGGAGCAGCTGGGATATCTCTACATTGCTCCGAGCATTTATTATAGGTGCTGGCAACTGACTGGGTGTGTTGGGATGGAATGATGCCCCCCTCCACCAACACATCTAGTTTAAAGCCTCCTTGACCAGCCTGGCAAGCCTCCTACCAGGAGTATCAGCAGGAGTGGGTAAAACTCCGTGGGACTTACTAGAGCAGGCAGCCGCTCTGCCGCATCCCTGATCCGTGCCCCTGGTAGGCAACACACCTCCCTTGAGACGGGGTCTGGACAGCAGACGAGTGCTTCTGTCCCTTTCAGTGTAGAGTCCCCTACTACTACGACCCGCTGCTTTTTCCTGGCAGCACCAGTAGAGATCTTCTTTACCAGGGCATCAGCCGGCTGTTTCTAGCTCAAGTGCATTTCCTCATTAGCCCCCTGCTCCCCCTAGCTGCTCCATCTTTCCAAAGAAAGTGTCCTTGGTTATGCTGATGCGTATGAGCTCTCTGGTGTAACAGTTTCCTGGATGATACTGACACACGAACATCAGAGCAGTTGGCATGGTCAGGTTCACCATCCATTTGCCACTGCAAGTTGATCACACAGCTTCACCTCACCACAGCAAGCGAACACCAACTGCTTCCAAGTAGGCTACCATGTGATTTGAGAGAGTTTGGAGTGCTTCAGGGACTACATTCCTATTTTGCAGATAAACAGCAGCATCCTCAGTCTGCGAAGCATTATAACCTGCAAATGACTTGCAAAGTACAGGCATACATGCACTGCAACTATGTGGTACAACAAAGCACAGATAATTTTTAATTGACTGAAGTAGACATCAGCTACAGGGGTGAGAAAGTCTGCACTACACATGGAGGGTCTTAGGAATTTTGCTGCCTAACTGTGTCATGCCAGCACTGGTGAGACATTTGCAGAGAAAGCTTGTCAAAAGGATGTTTTTTTACAACACAAGTAGTTCCCAAATGACTAACTCCAACACTGGAAACAGCTCAGGCATGGCAGCATAGAGCTGTGAAGCCTGGTTTGTCCTGCTTCACAGCAGCTTCCTGAATAAACATGCTCTTTCTTTCACACTTCTTTTTACTCTTTCCAAATCCCACCGCAATGCAAAGGAGGTTGAGCTCTGGATATTTATTCTTACCAAAACTGTTCTCATTTCTCCTTAGGTATTTCAACCGAAAATATCCCAGCCGGGTGTAGTGACAGCATCTGAAATGTGATAAGACACCAGAGACATGAAAGAGATCAGCACTTATCCTACTTGGAGGGGGTGGAGAGAAGGGGGTTGGGAGTGTTTTTTTATCTCTTTCCTGACATCACGTTGCTGGGTGAAGTGAGAAGCTTTATGGTCCTGGGTAGGTCCCAGCTTTCAGAAGCCAGAACCACAGGCTCTGCATGTAGCTTTGGGCTGTTTGAGGCTGGATCACCCCACCAACGGCTCTGGCTGGGGCTGTGCACCCATGAGCAACAGCCAGGGCAGCTTCAGCCTTCTGAAAGCTATGGCCAGCCCCAGCACATGGCATGGAGGTAGAGACTGACAATTGCTCTGAAAACTTCTAGCTCCTCTCCTCCTGCCATGGGCCTGAAATGCCAGCACTCCTCCCAGGCAAGTAACTCAATTTGTAATGAGCCCCTAGTCAAGTGGTGCAGGGTCAAGTGGCTGGAAAGTGTATCAGAGAGGGAAAAGTCTTGAGCTGAGCAATAGAAATGAGCAGATGTTGGATCCTTTAAATTTCATTAGGGATCTTGGGGACATCAAAGAATTGCAGTACTTAATTTATCCAAAGAAACAACGGATAGACTTTGGAAAACACAAAGCTACAGAAATGCTTCACAAGATTTCACCTGGATTAAACCCAATGCTGATGTTACTGTGACTAATTCCACTTCTTTCTCCCCTCACCCTTCATACCCTCAAACATGGCTAATTTTAGCAATAAAGTCATGCTTCTTAGTCTCAGCAAGGCTCTCTGAAGTTGTTTTAATGATTACTGTATTCATGCACTGTGTCAGTCCCAAAGAAAAGCAGAGGTCTGCAGACCTAAATATGATATGACGTGATATGCTCCTGGGTTTCCATTTAAAGTGAACAGCTATATCCCACAGTTCAACCACAGTATTAGTTAATTTCATTGCCCTCAGCAGCCTGAAGTTCATTTTACAGCCTGAATGTGTAAATTAACCACACTTAATAGACAGAAGTCAGGATACATTTCTTGGCAACAAATATGACAACAGCATTTCCACAGTGAATTATTTTGGGACTCTTATCCCATCATGGAAACCACATTTCAAAAGAATCACCTTGCAATTAATTATAGCAGCTTTAGTAATGGTACGGAGTTAAGTAAAAAGAATATAGTCACCTATTGTTTGTGGGTTGGCTGGAAAGAGACAGTCAAATCTTTCCTTAAAATAAATATGCATTATCTCCACTTACCTGCCCTTTACTTTGGCTGCCTCAGTGATCTTTAAGAAAAACTGAGAAGTGTCTAGAATGAAAAAACCTATCATCAAATTGCAAATTATCATAGGGCTTTCCTATGTCTTTGAACTGCAGCTTCCAAAAAGAGGCCAGCTCCTTTAGAGGTAAACTTCACCAAAATTTCAGTTGAGGCATTTTTTGTTAAAAAAATGGTATTGTTTTAAGATTGATATTCCATAAAATATGTTAATTTTGATTTGCATTACCATTCAATATTTTAAAATTCAACAAATTTAATTTGTGATTACAAATCGTAGTTCATTTTATATTTTCAGTCCCATATAGTTAACCTTGTGATAAGTTGTTCCTAGGCAAAAAGGAAAAAGATTAGAATATTTCTACTATTACATTACAGTAAATTAACATATTACTTCACTTCCACTATTGGAAGATCACAAAGTAATGAAAATTATCAAAACAAAATAAAAGTGAAAGTACAAAAAATGAAAAAAAAAAAACAAATTACTGGGTTCTGAAATTAAAATTTTAAAAACTTTGCCCTATCCAAAATTTTTTTGAAAGGTGAAATTTTGAAAAGCCTGGGTTTTGTTCTGTATGCAAATAAAAATGAATTTTAAAATGTACAAATTTTGAAAGTTGATAACAAGGTGTTTTCCCTAAAAAGCAGCAGCTTCTTCTGCATCTCCAGTACAAGATTCCCAGAGCGGAAGGTTTTGTAGGCTAATAAGAGAAAATCAAGATCACTTCTCCAACTTAAAGGGAAATTCTCAGACTTTCTGGCAGACTTCAGACACTGTCAGATGACAAAAGCAGGGGAATCCATATTCTCTTTTTCAGTGACAGAATTTGCACCTGTCTTGCAAAATGAGGCTGAAATGGCTCCACATCTTATGAAAGGCATTGCCCGCACAGAGAAGTCAAAAAACTTATTATCTACAGACAAAAGAATCTCAGAGCAGAAATAAAGGGAATAGGCTAGAGATTTCCATGGTGTCCCTAGAGGAAGTGGATCCAAAGGCATCAAAGAGCATGCAGAACTTTTTGACATACATTTGAATAATGTCTTTGAAATGGGAAGACATGAAAAGCGATCCAAGAACTGCTTGTCTACATTGATCTTCTCAGTGGCTGTGCAGGTGGCACATCATCACCCTAAAACTTTCAAACCTTAGTGTCTGCCATCCGACTCTGAGAAGGTGCAAGAATAACTGTTTTTAATGGCTCCTGACGGAGCAGGAGCTCAGTCACTCTCCAAATTGGGCTAGTTACTTGCAGATTTCCCCTCCTACTCCAATATAGCTGAAAGTGCTTCAAGCAAGGTGGATCTCCTGCTTTCAGACCTCATCATCAAGGAGCACTACAGAGTCAAAGTTGATTGATCTGAATGAAAAGAGAAGAAACTAAAAATATTGGTGTCTTCCATTTACTAGCTGTGTCCAGTGAATGGCACCATATGGTGCAACCTGACCAGAGTAAACCTTGCTCAACGGGAAGGCTTAGGGTAAGATGTCACAAGATGGCTCTTCCCTTGCACATAAAACCAGAAGAAAACATCTTTGGCTTTTTGTTTGGTTTGGTTTTTTTTTACTAAACCAGCATAGGAATCCAAACCAATTCACCAATATCACCAACAGGTCAGATAAGAGTCAGGGCCAGGGCAAATGAAGCAGGAAGGCTGGTTGATTGAGAAAAGAAAGGGAAAAAAATGTCTTATGTTTTTTGCCACTTGTAAACCTTTTCTCAGGCTCAAACCTCACCTCTAAGAAGAGCATCACCAAAATAAAGACTATAGGCATTCCTGACACCCTTGCTTCTGTTTAGATACCCCTGCAAAGAAAGGGCCTTATGCACCTTTGTCATCTGGTATCAGCTTCTTCAGGGGTAGGGTGGAAGCAAGAAGTTACATGTGGTGCAGACACCTTGGGGCCCACGAAAGCCTTTGAACCAGCAGACTTTTCTAGCTCCACTCATTCTTGCCATCCATGCTAGCATCAAGCCTGGAAATTAAGGTGTCCTTAGCACAAGGTTAAAGACAGAATTCCACCTGTTTACACACAAGCAAGGGCCAGCCATAACCTGGTCTAATCTGCATAAGTGGTTTATAGGGAGAAAAAAACCTCTAAACTACAGGGAACAAAAAAAAGACACAGAAACCAAGTGTGGCCCAAAGTTGTTTTGGTTTAGTTCAAATGACACATACACAGTTTCTGAACCATAGAATTTATGTACTTTCTTAGTGATTAATATTTAAAAAGACTGTTTGGCACTGGACATTCAGTACATGTCTTGCAAGGACTTGGCACAGAGAAGAGGTAGTAATCAGAAATGTGCCAAAGACTTGTCAAGGAAAAAACTTACACTCAATACTAATCAAGCTCAACTCTGTGCCAGTCCTCCCACTCATCCTTTCATAAAAGAGCTAAGTCTTTCAGCATGAGTCTGCCCATGCTGCTTCAGAGACAGCCAACACCTTTCACAGTCAGTTGACAAAAATGAAAGTTTGGGAGGCTGAAAAGAGCAAAAAAGATACAACTCACCTTCTGCTCATCAGCAAGGATCACTGCTGGGAGTAGAGTCCTGCCTGTTCTGCTCCGGGGACTTCCTACAGTAAAAGACTTTATTTGCAAGTCTGTGGTAGCAAGAGATAAATTTCAGCGTGCCCCCCACCTGGCATGTTTCGGTCTCCAGTGTCAGTGCCATGGCAGCTTGACAGCAGCCACCATCTTTTCTGTTACAGACAAATTCACACTACAGGCTGTAGCACAGACACTAAACTCATTAGCGTTGTCCCTGTGTGGATGAGAAATGCAGCTGCAAACTCAGCTCTGCCCTCTGCACCTCTTGCATGCGGCGTGCTAAAGGGTTCACTCAGTAAACAGCAGCAGTGTGGGGCAGGGACTCACAGATGGGTTTTGTCTGGCTTGATGGGGTAAGATGGTGTGGCCAAGCTATGTTTTCCTACTCTTTTTAGAAGAAAGCCTTCCACAGGATAACCACAGACACCACCTCCAGGAGTCAAAGTTCTGCCTGCTTGCAGGATGGTGAGCACCAGCTGAGCTTATGCACATCTCTCCTCTTGCCCAGCACTCACCAATTGCACTCATCAACTTCTGCAACAGGGGAGAAATCAAGCGGCTGTCTGCTGTAAAAATCTTTCCTCTTCTTTTCCACCTTTCCTCCCAGGGTCTGAGGGTGCGATGCCAATATTAATGAGCATGGCTCACAAAAGCTCTGCAGAGCCCAGCACACTTGTGTTGCTGAATGGAGATGAGGAGGTTAATTAGCTTGCCAGGGGGTGCAGGAAGTCCTTGTCAGAGCCATCGGTGCTGTTAGAATTCCTGTCATTTATTTACATAGCAACAACCATTTTCTTTATGGCTCACATCCAGAAATTAAAACAGGGAGGACTATTCACACAACCTGATTTTTTGCACCTAAATTAGAAGACTGGTTTCCCAAAGTGCCTAAATTAAGTGCTTTGAGTCATCTCTGGAGTAATATCTCTATCTCCAATGACTGCAGTGACACCCTAGAGACACAAGTCTCTGTCTCAGGACAGGTGATTATAGTTAGCTGGTGTGTACTCCTTTTTCCTCTACAGTTTATGTAAGCCTGATCTCATTTAGGATTAAAAATAGGATGCATCAAAGATCACCTGAGGATCAAAACCAATTTACCCAATTTGCAATTGCAGGTGCACTTGTGCGCTGACTTCAGGAACATGGTCTGAAAATATTTTTAAAGGTATCAAAATGTTTGTTAATGTCACATCTGCTATACATACACAGGGTGCATGTCTTTAAACATCTGCAGGGTCAGAGGCGCATTTGGCTGGGAATCTGAACCAAATCCATTTTTTAAATTTTGCATTTAATAAAATATACATATTTAACACTACATTGAGATAAGAGCTTTTCTGAAAAAAGTTAAAACAAAACAGCACTCGAGTGCTCCCAGAATACATGTGCTTTCCTACCTGCCACAGTTAAATAATATCCCAGAGTTGCACACATCACTCTTAATATTACCGAAGATGCTGCTGCATGCACAACTAATGCTGAGAAACTGGGCTACACTGGTTCCTGTGACACCGAGACACAGAAGACAGGCACGACTTGTGAAACCCTGGCAAACAGCGTTAGGAAAAGGAGATTAATCTCCCAGCTTCCAAAGCACATTGCAAACATTACAGGAGAAAATAGATACATTTTAAGAGTAGTCATGTTCTTTCTTTTTTTTTTCGTGTTGTAATCCCTTTTCTTTCTCTCTCTAGCCTACATTTCAAAACACTAAACAAGTAACACTTCCACATCATTTCTGCGATGTTCATTTCCTGCCAGGGACTCAATGAGCAAAAATGATCATTCTGGAGCCAATCATCAGCCCAAAGTCGATTATTTTTCCAAACTGACTAGGGCAGGTCTCTCATCCTCCCAGTGGGAGATAACACATGGCTTTACAGCCAGTAGGCACCAAAGGGAGGTGCATAGGAAGGGACTGGTGGTGGTGCACACCCTGTATGCGTTAGAGCAGCACGGCTCAGAAACAATAGAAATCTTCTGGCTCTAGTCCTCAGATTGAAAAATAGTAAGGTTAAAAAAAAAATAAAGGAAAAGAAAAGAAGAAGGAGCAGCTGACACTTAAAAATTGCAATTGTTCAGGGACATTAGCAGGAAGAGGAAATGTAGCCACTGTTGCTGGCACGTCTGATTTTATCTCTGTCCCCCCTCTTAGCTAGAGTTCACACACATAGTCACAAGTGCTACACACCCTTGCTGCTTCTCCTACTGAAGTCAGCAGTAGGGAAACACCAGTGTACTTCAGAAAACATTTCAGGATCCCTTGATCCCAGGACCGGCAGGGGTGAGACCAGATTGCTGAGTCCAGTGGCGCTGTTTTGTTTTCTCTGTCTCCCTGGATGGAGAAAGCATTGTCAGGCTACTACAAAGGAGTGCTGGACCCCAGCTTGCAATGCTGTAGTACTTGGTCTCTCCTTCTGCTCCAGCAAGGAAACTTTGCAGGATGCACC